AACTGGTTACGTACCCCGTTTGACCATCTAGTATGTAGGTCACTTTCTTCTTGTAGTCTTCCAGCCATTTAGGCCTCATTTCTCCACTGACATTTCCCAGACAGCCCGTCAGTTCTCCACAGCTCCCATGGCTAACGGCAACCCTCTGCCACACTGCTTCACACCGTCGGTTTTCGACAGCTAACAACGCCGTCAGAGTAGTTTTCTCCTTTTTCTGTCTCACAGTGACTGTCTTTCTTCCCCTGCTGTCTCCACCTGCGTGTTTTACGGCTGTCAAGCCCATATGCTGCCAAGTCTGCGGGAGGAGGAATGCTTTGCTTCTTCACAGCTTCTCAACCTGTTCATTCATTAGGATGTGTGCTCAGCGGTCTGGTCAAAGAGCATCATCAGTGTGTGATTGTGGTTAATGAGCATTCACATTTTAGGCTGTGGGACGTCAAGCTTGTGTTCATCAGATTGTTTCCACAAGAGGAGTTTGGACAGTGCTATGCCACCAATCCTCAATCAGCTGGCTTCTGTCCTCCCTGCCAGGCTAAAGCTGTCCAGGACAAATGGTCCTGTGGCGCTTACAGCAGCGATACAGAATGACTGCAGTTTTCATTTGCGGAAATACTTTTGCTAGCCTGCTGCATAATCTTTTGCAGCCTGTTAGTAAAATTTGTGCCTGTAAATATACAACTGTTAAAATGAACCAGCTTCCTCAGACTCTCCTCAGTAAAACCAGGAATGGGACTGAGCTTATTATAGTGAACTGAACCGTATTAACAACTAATAGTAGGTGTGAAAAAAGGAAAAACAAATAAAATTATGTAGTTTGAAAAAAACGTAATTAAAATAATAAAAAATAAATAAAGTTTTAATTCAAATAAAAAAAATGTGAATGAAAAACCTTCAATTTGGTCAAATTTTTCCTCACAACATGCTTGTCAAGGCTTGATTTAATTTTTTTTTTTACTTGGATGTCTGCTGGATGTCTGTGTTAATATTACAATATTTTTTTCTGAATTTAAAAAAAATCCCCACAATATGACTAAAACTAACACTGAAATTGATGAAAACTAAAACAAAATGAGCCGAAGTGTGGCAGTTGGCATTGTCAAACTCAATACCGACTCACAGGAAAATATTAGATACTATTTTTAAAAGGATTGGAGAAAAAAAAAAAAAAAGACAAAGCGTCTTATTTTTTTGTCATAAAAACCAAGGAGCTTTTTTAAAAAAAAATTTAAATTGAAACAATAAAAACAATAACATCAATGACAACAATATTTCTAAGCTGCCTGATAAAAAAAATTTAAGATTCTCTTAGGTGGTGAAAAAAAGAGAGACTATTTTTAGGCTCTGTGAGGTAGTGCTGGTTTTTCTGGTGACATAAATAATTGTGTTATCTAGCTAAATGAACAGTCTATTAACAATACAGATGGGCAGAACTCATTTGTAAGCTAGCCTCCACATAGTTGCTAGCTGCTAGCTTAATGACGACAGATGGCTAATGTGGCTAATCAGATAATTGCTAATAGTTTAACAGGTAGCATTAACATGGGTACTGGTTAGATTAACATTTATAATAACTTTTAAAAACACGAGAATGTTGTTGGCATGACCTCTGACCTCTTGAAATTTGTCAAAGTGTCAAAGTCATGTGAACAGGTGTTATTGGCAGGAGGGGCTGTGTGCCTGCCATTCTGCAGTACTGTGTGAAGTTGTGTGTCAGCTGGAGGAGGCAAACAAGGCGCTGCTGGTATTAACACTGCTGCAAATGATCGTCTTATCCTTTTCAGTAGTGATTTGTATCTGAGTGGGGTTTTTTTTGACAACTCTAGTAGCAGTAATATGGTTTCTGAATGGAATGATTAACAAAACCTGTGAGATGTGGGAACTCTAAATTGAGTTGTTTGCCTTATCCTGCTTTGTTTTAAGTAACTGTCTCATCATAATGACTCATTTGCTAGCCAGTGGTTCTATGTTTGTTTTTGATTTGAAAAGTTTCTGGCACAAATCGATTCTGCTGCTGAAAATCTCTGCAGCCAACAGTAGTTTCTCCTGTGACCATTTAGTTGTGATTTGGCTCTGATCTGAACACAATTGCCTGTCCCAGTGGTGCTGTTCATATACACATCAGTGGGAGTGGTTCAATGCATTCTTTGGTCTCATATATTGAAATTGTAGTTGTATATGTGTGTAAGAAAAAGAGCACATGTTGATCAATCTGTGTGAAAACTTCAGTGAGCCACTGTGCTTGCTTATTCTCTGACTTGGAGTATCATTTCACATAATGTGGCTCAATTTGAAACAGGTCAGAAAAAGGCTCAGAAGAGGGACCCCAGCAGCTGGTAGATATAAACGTAATGAGTTTTTCAGCATTGTAGCAGTGTTTCAAGCTTCTTTGAATTTATAGAGATACAGGGCAATGGAGCATAGCTGCCACATGTCCACCCCAGGGAAGGTGCACCAGGAAATACTCTCAGGCATCAATCTGCTTGGGACAGAAGATGAAGACGGATTAGATTGTGATGTCATAAATCCGTTTTCTCCTCAGGAAGTGTGTCAGCATTGGGAATTCTTACAGAATTTCCAGAGGGTGGAATGGATTTGACTGAGACTGGGAAGTGGAAATCTTTTTACTATAGGAGCTCAGTCTGATACCTAATAATTTTCAGCCTCTAAAGTAATACTGCGGTACTGTAATGTGAAATCCCGCACAAAGTCAGTATCAGAAAACATCTGTATATGGAGGGAGTTAATATGCCTTTGCTGCAGTGCCAAAAGCCATTGCTTAGCTCTCTTTGATTGGAAAACAAAGGAAACAGCAATGACTGATACTGTAGCTAATAAACAGCAGACTTTTGCTTGAACTGGCACTAAATCTGACTTTGGCATACTGTGCCATTATTTAGATGTGGAATAAACACAGAGACAAGCAATGTTGAATCCAGAGGCATGGCTTAATCACGTCTGCAGGGCATATTCTGCAATCTTTTTGTAGATCTGAACAATGTGACCGTTTGTATACCGCTGTTCTTTATGTGTTTTTCTTTCTTTTACATACCATAGCTACTCCCTCCTTAAACAGAAATGGATGGGAATGCCAGAATTCTTTACATCACCCGGACATCCAAAAATCAGCCACACACACTGCCCAGTACATATATTTTTGAAATTCATGCTTAGGACAATGCAAGAAATATGCAATCTTACAGCTCAGTGTGGCACTGAACTGTCAAGGATTGTGTCAATACGGCATCAATAAGTCATCTGTCCTTGAAGAAGATGAGCTAAGGTGGAAAGATTAATGTCGGGACAACTTTAAAAGACCTGACTGTCTTTGGAGCAATTTCAAGGACTTTGTAAAAAATTGCTTGATGTTTTCAAAATGTCAATCATAAAGGTCAGCCTATGTCATAAACAGTATGAATCCATGGATTTATCCTGACTAAACACTATAGCCTGGTGGTGGCATTTGAGCATTGCCTAAATGTCACTGCTTTGCTGAACAGGTGTGTCCTTTAAGATGGCTCTTCCTGCGGGATACTGCAGCATTTGAAGATGTTTCCAGAAAGAGTTAATTTAGTGCAGCCACCCAATATCAAACAATATAAAAAGATTTTGAAATGGTGTTGTATAACAGCTTACATGCAGATATTTGACAGGCTTCTGTTTATATAACAAAACAAAACATCATTGCTAAACGGAAAAAGCATTTGTTTTCCATATATTTGTTCTGTCACCCCTCTCTTTAATAACCCCCAAATCTTTGTCTCTTAGTCTTTCTTTTTTAATGTTGTCAGGGTTTCATCAGCGATGACCACCCTGAAGATAAGACACTGGAAATCCAAAAAGGCATGTGTGTGGGTGTATGCGCGTATCCTCGTAAGCACCTGTAATGAGCTCCACATGTGTGTGTATCAGAGCCCAGGCTAACGAAGCCCAGTCCATTATTTATTTTCCTGTGGTCCTGTCGCTTCGCTTGTCGATGCACCTGTGTATACACGCACACACATCCACCATCTGTCTATAATGACCGTTCTCGTTCGTACCGCATAGCACTACGGTCCCTCGAGTGGTCATTAGACGAGAGAGCGAGAGAGTTGCTGAGGAAGGGAGAGCAGTGGTTTCGGTGTAGATTTGGAACTAGTTTTTTGGTTTTACTTTGCGAAGGAGTGCCTGGGGGTCAGTGTAGGGTGGACACATAATGCTCAGAAAGTTAATAGAACACACAAAGTGTGTGTTTTGATTACTCTCAGTGCCTTCGAGGCTTATATGATTTGCTTTGCCTGCTTTGTTTTTCCCTCTGTCAGGAGAATACAATCTACTATTGAGGTTTAAAGTAAATCTTACATTTACACAAACCAGAGGTCAACAAATCCACCAAACAACCTTGGGTGTCGGAGTCAAGTTCATCTGGTTAGGACTTGAAAACAAACCTAAAATTCAAATCACTTCTTCAATTACTTGATTTCCTGTTTATTTGCAGCAATGGCCAGCTCCCAGCAGGGAACTGCTCCCATTATACCCAAAGCACTTAGCTTTCTGGCCTTGTGGCCCTACCCAAATCCCCTGTGCTGGCTCCTGCTAATCCCCACCGATTGTAGAAGGACATGGCAGACAGAGAGGGAAGGGGTGGGGGGCGGTGTTTGGTTGGAGGAGGCTGGAACAGAAAGACAAACAGGCAGCTCAAATGTGGCTTTAAAGGACGTCTTAATATCTCCCAGTAGAGTTGGAACTTAGCTTGAACTTCCTTTTAGCACCTTGAGCCTCCTTGATTTCCAACAAAAAAACACTAGCTTTTAAAGAAGTTCTCAACATTTATTATACCAGGATTATGTTTTAGCAAAAAACTAAGTGCACTGTGTGTGTGTGTGTGTGTGTGTGTGTGTGTGTGTGTGTGTGTGTGTGTGTGTGTGT